CAATGAGAGCAGGCAGCTGGCAGAGCAGGCAGCTACTTTTCACTGCAAAACACTTTACTGACCCCCAGCTCTCTCTGTAGCACAGACAATCCCTGCTACCAGCATGTGCTAATCCATTCTTTCACCCAAATTCTTTGTCTTTATAATTGCTATCTTTATATAACAAACAACTGTTGTTTCGTGTGTAGGTTTGTGTCATTTCCCGTTTCAAATTTCCCGTGTGTTTTCTTGACAAAACGTGGTTTGGAGATCTGCGTCGGGTGACTCAGCCACTGTCAGCTCGTGTAGTGTGTGACCCCCTGTCACCGATCAGTCACGTAGTGTGAATGCCACAACGACTTCAAGACTCCCGTCACAAGACGGCAAGTTGTGTTGTGTGAACGGCACGGCCATCGGCCGACACTGAAGGTCGTGTAGTCTGCACAAGCCTTAACATAAGTCAAGTGACCAACATCACGTGACATTAAACACGTTGTTAATGTTGTGAACCGGTTGCAGTTCAGTTAGGTTTAGGCAACAAAAACTACTTGATTAGGTTTAGGTTTAAATAAGAACTTTATGTAAGTTTTGTGACAGAAGTCAATAACGTAAGTCACGTGATGGAAGTCAGTAATGCTATTTAAGTTAAAACTCAAAACTTAACATTTACTTGCTTTCACATGGGATTCGAAGATAATTCTCCCCAGAGAAGTCCGAGGGGTTGACCCATCCAACCTCCCCATCAAGAGAATTTCTGCCTCTTTATAATACATCACCCAACTTAATCTTTGCTACCATTTCAGGTCACTGCCACAATAAACGTCAACATGGGTCCAGTGTAAATGAGTAGATCAATAAATAAGGTAAAAGTTAAAAGTAAAAACATTTATACAGGGAGCTGATCACTGCTTCTACAACAAAAACTCTATATTGTACATTGCACTGTTGACTGCAAGTGCATACTTATTGAACCTGTGTCCTATAATAAATTAAGTGTCCAAAGCTTTGTTAACCATTTTGAATGCACAAACAAGACAACTCTTTATACTGTCCTTCACAGACTGCTTTATCTGACTTCATAATAATGTACTGCACAAAAAACCTATGTTGTTTTTTTCTGACAGTGTCAGTACTTGCATGTTGAAGTACTGCATTGGTTCTAATTTATGCAGTGATTTGTTTGAGAGTAGAATAATCAGCCCAAAAAGACATCAAATGAAAGTATTACAATCTGTTTTACGGATCAAATAAATCTTTTTTTCTCAACTTTACTGCATCTTACTGCCTTTGTAGGGCAGGAAAACACAGAAATAGTTCATTACAGTAAATACTGGGACATCCTACTTAAAGATGCATTTGCCATTACCTCACCTCAAGTCCCTGCTTGAGTAACATCATATTTGTTTGTTGAATCCTATTTCCCATGCATTAGAACTGAAAATACATCTTATTAAAGAAACTGTTTTGTAATTGAGCGTTTGTGTATTTTATAAACAGTGTTTAGCTGTAGCACTCACAGTAGACTTGAGTCTCTCAATGTATTTACCAGAAGATCCAACGCACCCGGCAGCCAGCTGAGTAACACCTTGTGTTATGAGTTGTGTGAGTGTGTGTCATGCAGTGCCCCCAATAAGTGTTTGACCTCTGAAAAGTTATGCAATCTACCTCCCACTCAGTACACACACAAACAAGTGCGTGATTCACTCCTCATGCATCACATACATGGTGACTGTCCAGCAAATCAGAGATGAAATTAAGGAGCATCCGTGTGTGTGTGTGTGTGTGTGTGTGTGTGTGTGTGTGTGTGTGTGGCCACAGGTCTTGTCCTCTGTGAAGAAAGGACTGTTCATATAAATAGCTGCAGGCATAGAAAGACACAGAGAGACAGACTTTGCAGTATATGCCCTCTTTAGATAGCTGACACAGCTGGAAATAAAACAGAGCCGAGGTGCACGGGAGCACCATCGGTTTCTCCTGATGTTCTTCAGTTGCATATTGCATTTCTTTTTGTCATTCCGGACCGGACAATCTTCAGGGAAAATCCATCTCTCATGGAAACAAGAGAAAAAGATTCCAGAAGATTCTTCTTTACATTGTGAGCTTTAAGTCATCTTTAAACCTGGGAAAGACCAAAATGAATGTCATGTAGTGGGAGAGTAACAGAACCATGAGATGATTTCAAAGGCTTGATTCCTGCTGTGACTCTGAATACAGACAAATACAATGTAATACTGATTCTGGGTGATTTTACTTGGCTCGGATTGGCTTTCTTTTGGGGTTTCTTCAACAGCCATATGCATTTATGTTCTTTCCTCGGTGTACTTTCCCCGCTGGTGGTAAATCCGTGGCAGGATATCATTTAAGCCTGCTAAGCAGCCAGCTCGACAATCAAGCTTATTAATTTACCCCAGTTTAAGCAAAGTTAACCCGTTGATTGAATCCTCTCCCAGTTGGTCTCTGCCAAAATGCCCCAGCTGTATTTCTGTTAGATGCTTCAGCTGCTGCATTGGTGTCCCAGGGGGCACACTGGCCCAGCGATGCAATAATACACACTATTTTAGTCCCTGTGACCCAAACTGCTCAACCCTGCAGAGCAGTGAGCCGAGACACTGATTCGCCACTAGCTCTACAGGGTATCACACTGTCCCTGGCTGTGACCTTTGACCTCCCCTGTTCCACAGAAGATGAGAAGAAAATGGCTGGTCATTGTCAGTTTCACAAACTGTTGAGTGTATCTCACGTTGGCCGCAGTTTATTGGTGGGAGTTAAAACAATTGAATTATGTGATCAGTTACATCAAGTGTCACTGTGGTGCCTTCCACTTTTAACCTTTATTTCACACCTAAAAGTTGCCTAGCCACGTGCTATTAATGAGAGAGGGGCAAGTGCTGCTCCATTTCCTGTTTATTTACTTCTGCCTATACGGGGATCGGACCGGCAACTGCTTACAGGCCACCTCTTTTTATATTTGGTTTAAAAGTTCAGAGAGATTAGATAAAGCTTCTCTTCTTTCTCTAAAAAAAAGCAACACCTTAACTGGCCAGATACTCGTGTCCTGGTAGCCTGACTCTATCACAACAAGCACAACCTGGCTTGTTGTTGGAATTGGGGGCTAACCTGCCTAAGAGAACCGCATACACTGGACATCAAGACACTGCGTGAACAACTGCAGACCGAAGACTAATTAGTGACGAAGCATTTATTGTTTGTGAGCAAGCTATCTAGACTTTATGAATGTTAACAGTGGTCAACGTAGTATTAGATTAACTAGACGTAGCATTTTCCTGACCTGATTCTAGCATTAATTTGCAAGGTTTCCTTGATTATTACACTATTTGATTCCTATAACAGTCTATTATGTTGCAATGCTGAACTTTTTCTGTAAGGGGGGCGATTGGCACCTTTAAGGACACTAGACACAAGAGTGAGAAATTGACTCTGGGGTTTTGTGGGCGTGGGTTGTTATCTTTCACTGTACATTGGATAATCTTGTACTGTCACAGCTTGTATAATACAGTGTAAGTAACATTGAAATAAAAACATAAAGCTTCTCTTTACTAACTCTTTTAAAACTGGGTCACATAAATAAATCATTTATTTTTCTAATGCTAAAGTCAACAAGCTAACAGGCTCACAATGGCAATGCTAACATGCTGGCAGTAATGTTGCCCTAAAATTTTATAATTAAAGTCTTTTTGAAAAACACTTAACACTTAATTTAATGTCTTCCGTTTCCCCAGTGTGCGTGTAGTAGAATGGAAATGAATCTGTCAAATCAGTCTTGATCAACATTGCTATTCATTAGTTCCCTTTAATCCTTTTCATTAGTTTATCTTTCTTATCCAAGAATCAGCAGGATGCATCAAACCTTCACACAAACCCTCAGGCACAGGAAAGCTTTATTCTTTTATTTTTCATACATCTGTGTGCACTGTGTAAATCCACAATTTAGTGGCCCTGCGCAGAAACATATAACAGCAATTTCTTTCTTAAACAGAATCTAAACCAGACTAAACCACAGCTTCAGCTCCCCTGCTGGCAACATATGTAAACTAATTATCCAGTCTTAATCTCTACTCTCCAACTATAGAATTGTCTACACATCTGAATCATAATAATCAGAGTAATACATGTAAAGCATGTAAATGCTGTAATCAGACCATCACATAACCTGATTCCTCTTGGGAACTGGGAAATTTAGTACTCTGTGCTTTGATGTACTCTAATTAATTAAAGTTTAGTCAACCTCTGCATGCTGCATCTTAAGCCTTCAAACTCCGCAGACCCTGATGACATTTACTGAGCCGGGCCCTCAGAACAGATTGAACATATTTACATCACTGCTTTCAAAAAACAACTGTGTATCATCAACAACAGCAGTAGATAAGGAACTGCATAGTAATTACTGAAATGAATAAAATAGGTTGTACAATAAGACCCCACACATTCGAGGTACCAGTACTTTACTTAAGTATTTCCATTGTAGGCAACTTTATACTTTTACTCCACATCTCAGAGGCAGATATTGTACTTTTTACTACTTTTGTTGTGCAGCTTTAGGTACTAATTACTTTTTTCATTCACTGTCCAGAAAGAAAAAAAAATTCTCTAAATTTGGTTAGTTTGAATTTGAATGTTCTTTAGAGATACGTCGTTCTCGCAGGTGATCTTATAGACCATGATGCATTGCAGTAGATTAAACTACCCAACAGGATATAAAGGAGTTAGCTCAACCTTAAACATCTACAGCAGTAAAATGCAACATACACATTAATGCAGCAGTAGTAAGAAAAATTGAAAATAATAGTAGAGACCATTTTACTGCATAATGTATAGTAAAAGATCTGGATACTTCTTCCACCACCGCACCTTAAGTATGCTTTTACTCTCTAACATGTTTTACAGGACTCTGGTTTATAATATAGCTTTTATCACATATTATGAACAATATAACATCCCCTTTTTTTCCAACCTCCACCCTTCTTTCTCCCCATCACCTCTTCTATCTCTCTGTGCTCCAGACTACGCCTGGCCTCTCCCCAGCGCTCTGTGTCCGATCTGGATCTACCTGGACGTGTTGTTCTCCACCGCCTCCATCATGCACCTGTGTGCCATCTCTCTGGACCGATACGTTGCCATCCGCAACCCCATAGAGCACAGCCGATTCAACTCCAGAACCAAAGCTATGATGAAGATCGCCGCTGTTTGGACCATATCTATAGGTCAGATACGCATATTTTACAGTTTAATGTATAAAAGATTTGGCTCATTGCATGCATGCTTCTACACACAGAGACAGAGGCAAAGCATAATGGTGTCTCTTCTCTTCAGGTGTTGGCAATACATCAGGACAGCTGAGCTCAACTGATTTAAAGAGACAAACACCAGATTTGAAGTCAATGTGAGACACGATATATAGCTACTTAAGATTCAAGGTAGCTTTGTTTATCATTTTACAACACAGGGTGGTTTAATGAAATGAAGCTTGTAGTTTACTTAATGCTACCCACAAAAACAACATTATATTCAAAAATTATATACACTAAATGGGTGGATAAATAACAAGTCACAGAAATATAACTATTTTACATATTGTGCAGGGCTGAGGATTAATTTAAGAGTCTCGCAGCCTGGGGGAAGAAGCTTCTGTGGAGTCTGGTGGTACGACAGCAGATTCTTTTGTTTCTCTTGCATGACGGCAGCAGGGTGAACAGGCTGTGGCTGGGTGGGTACTGTCCTTTAGCATCCTTTGGGTTCTGCGTAGGCACCTCTCCGTGTCTGGGGATGCAGTCATGGGTGTACAGCGTGAACAGGAGGGGGTTGAGCACACAGCCCTGGGTGCATCCACCAATCCGAACTGTTTGGAGTCTGGTTTGTAAGGAAGTCCAATATATCCAGTGGAGTGTGGTACTTAAGGAGTGCTAAGTTTGACAATCAGTTTAATTCTAATGCAGGTGTTGTTTTTCTCAAGGTGTGTGTGGGCTGAGTGGAGATGGCATCCTCTGTGGATCTCTTGTTGAAGGGTCAGTTCACCCAAATCACAAAAAGACATATTTTGTCTTGTACCTCTTTTGGTATTTAGCCATGCAGATAGTGTTTCTTTCCCCAGTGTTTGAACATATCTGTTTCTACTGTAAGTATTGATTGATGATCGGGACATTGTTTTGGAAAGACATACTTTCATACCATACCATTGAATTTTTAAAATAACTCCATTCATTGTATTGGAGGAGTGGACACTCCCTTTGTAATTTGGCTGAACCGACGCTTTAATATTTTTTGGAAAGTTACCATATCATGATCCATTTATAACTCTATACATAAAAGATGTGGTTAAAATACACTCAGACCTGGTTATTCAGTGTAAAGGTTATTTCAGAAGCTGGATATGTGGTGTTGTATTGGATTTTGTGTTTCCCCTATAGGCCCACACAGAGAGTTGCCAGATTGATGACTGTTAAAAAATTTAATGACTTTTTGGTATCCCCTGGCAGTGTCTCCAAAGGTCCTTCCAGCGCACCAACTGACTTACTGAAACACTGGGAACATCATCAGTTTGTTGACGCTCACAGCAACTGCTTATTGGAGCTTATTGTTACAGCTGGAACTGATTTGCATTACAAACTTTTCTAAATCCTGAGACATGATCGCAGCACTTTTCACATTCATCTTTATGAGCTGCAAAGACAATGATAATGCAAATAAATGCATATCATGTTGTGTGATATTATCTATGGAAACCCTTGCACATGCTGTGAATCAGACAGGAGAACAAGATGTATTATGTTGAATAAGAAGTCTCAAACAAGCGCAAACGTGGCTTTACATTTTATTTGAATCTTTTAGGAAATAAAAATGCTGGGGAAGATCCCTGCAGCTCTTTAGGTGCATGTAAAAAATATCAGTCTTATGACATACTGAGTTTTTGTTAATATTTTGTTTATTTAAGTTTTTCTTCTTGAAGCTTCCATAGGAAGAATTAAAGTTATTTTTAAGGAGCAATAAAGAACTGGAGAGAATGAATTTATGTTAATCTATTACAGAAATATAACAAGATTCATCCTCAAATAATAGAAATGTTGAAAAATGTTTTTGGCAAAAGAGTTTCTGTCATGATCCTGTCTGTGTGTCTTGTTTGGGAGTCTGAGTTTAGTTCCATGTCCTTAGTTCACGTTTTGGTATTCATTTCTGGTCCTTGTTTGTATTATTGTGATTTGGTCTGCCCTGTATTCTGTGTCTTAGCTCCTCGTTCTGTGTCTCGGTTTATGTCTTAGTGTTTTGGGTTCTGTCCTGTGTCCAGTATCAGTTATATGGTCTGTTGTGTTTTGGGGTTCACTCATGTCCGTCTCTGTCTTGTCTGTCGTCTAGTGTTCAGTAACCCTTGTCATGTCTGTTACCCCAATGATCCCTCTGCATGTCTGTCTCTGTTTTCCCCTGATCCCTTTTCTCCCTGCCTGTGCCTCGTTAGCCTCATGTCTTTCACCTGTGTTGCTCCCACCCTGCTCGTTAGTCTGTGTGTGTATATATACCTGGTGTTTCTGTCTTGTCCTTGTCGGATCATTGTATGTTGTCACCCTGAGTTGCAGTGTGTGTTTCTTGTGTCATCAGCCTCACTCGTCGTGTCTCTGTGTTTTCCTGCTCGTTTTGGTTTTCTGTTGGACAACCTTGGGGGGTTGTGAGGAGAGAGTAGTGCCCCCCTCTGAGGAAAGTGCTGAGGGATGTGATGACTTTTAAAACTTTTCTCTCAGCCCTCCCTCTGCCTGCATGACCTCCGACTTCTATGATGTTGTTTCCAGCCCTTTAAGACCCAGGAGGGCTTCCATTTCTTAACACGTACAACCATACACATAAACGCACTTGCACAAACACATTCAGACTGTATGATTAGCCCTATCATTATACTAATGTCATCTGTACAGTAAGTGCAGCTCGTCATTACAGTAGTACATAAACCCCCTTTGGGAGATTGTTATTGCATGAAATGTCGCAATCCAAATGTTCTTCCAGAAGAAATGCGGATGCTATAATTACGTTATGAATTTAATCTTAATTCGTATGTGGGATTTAATGCAAGCTAACTCGCTGACGTAAGAGTTACATTAGGGAAATATTTAGATTGTTGCTGATAGTAACAGCAACTCTTACATTTCTCTGTTGAAAAGGTACATGTTGGGCAAGGGATTGGATATACGTATAGTATAATTATTGGAACAACTCTTTAGGCCATTAAAAAGTGACTGACTTTGAATTAAAATAACTGCTTCTTTAATCAAGGAAACAAAAGTCCAGTATAATTTATGTTGGTTGAGAGAAACATTGCCAAAAGTCCAGTCATATCCCATATTAAACACATGGAATTTAAATTAAGCTATATATCAAATTAGCCAGCTGACCTCTTGGGTTGAGATGCTTGACAAACACAAAAAGTCAGTTTTCATACTAAAAAAACTGTTAATTGACCTTTTTGTTTCACAGTGGAAATAGAGGAGCTGCTCACACCTGCAAAACATTAAAACAAATTATTTTATTTTGGTGAGAAAGCAAGATCTTGGACCGCTGAGTGACCTCCAGTTAGTTCAAAATGATAAAGTATATGTATTGATTTCTTGGATGCTAACCGCAAAAACAGTGTGGTAATATTACAAACTGCGGGTGACTAGTATGTAGTTTTACATCCAAGACTGAGAAAATAGTGGATCTGAAATCTGATCATTCAAATCATTGAGCTGCCAACCTTTACTGACCCAATTACTCCCACAGCTCTATGAAATGGGTTCAGGAATGCCTTCATCGTACCCCTTCAGTAGATGGGATGGCCCACACACTGCTTCTCCGATGTTTTGGGGTCGAGATTATCTCATCACCATGTAGCTTTGATCACTGGTGTCCTCCTGCATTTTTTTGTATAAGCATAGCTTTACTGATATGCCAATAGGCATCCAATCGGTCAAGCAGATCTTCTGGACCACAAAGCGAACTACTTCGAATGGTCTGTTAGAATTACAAAGGCCATTGCAATTTCATTTCCCCCCCCATCTTTGAACAAAACACAGTAGCTGCACGTTTGAAATGTCCATTACCTTTAGCTATTTAGACTTTTTTGCTTTTCAAATAATTGCAAAACTTGGTGTTAAGCTATTACCGCACTATGCCAAGCTACTCCACAACCTTTCCACAAAAAACTAATTATAACACAAATGTGTAGGTACACTTTTGTGGGGTTTGCTGAAACATCCACCCTTAAACAATGAGTGAACCATCGTCAGAAAGCTGGACTCACCAACAGTTAGATATTTTCCTCTGAAGTGGATTTGTTGTGAAGTTCTTTTGCTGTGACGGATTACTTCTTGTAAGCAGCATGGAATGGATTGATACCTCAATATAGCAGGTAGAGTCTTAATTTACTTGCTTCACTTTCTTTGTACTTGTTCGCTACCGGCTGTCTTAAAATCATTAGAAATCCCTGCTTTCCTGTAGGCGTTTCCTTAACCCCTCAAGTGGTTCTTCACCACAACATTCTGCAATGACCGAAGTCTGAGAGGGCTTACAGCGATCAATGCTAAAGGATTAGCAAGAAAACATCCAACCGAAGATGTACCAGGAAGAGATTTTCTGCCTCTTTTTACCTTTTCAGTGTCTTGTTGAGTGTTGCTTCCCTCCCATTTCCTCTTCAGACCACTTAGAACTGATGCATCTTCTCTCAGCTAAACTGAAGTACCAATCTAGACACAACAGTTTCCCCTTTTGTGACAAATTTGAAATGCAGAGCGGTAGTCATGCACGAATTACCGTATATGGTACTTGTCAGAGGAGTCTTTGGGGGCAAGTCAAGTTTTAAGGGGATGTTCGTGTTTCTTTTAAAAATGTGCAGTTGAATCAGGTGCTTCTCAGATCAAGGACGAAAAATACTAAAGCAAATCTTGATCAGAGTCAAATCTCAAGTAAGGCAAGTCCACGTCAGATATCTTCCTTTGTATAATTAGTGGTATAGTTCTACTTGTCAGTGGCTGAATTAACTACTGGCAGGCCCATCTAGGGCTAAAGCTGACAGCAAGGCCCGCAGAGAACAGTCAGCAAGCGCCACCCTGTTTACTCAGGCAATGGCTCAGTGGAGTCGCTGCTGGAAATTTTTTCACAAATGTATTCACACCTCCACTTCATGACATCAGTGGTTTTCAGGGTACGAAGCCAATGAGGTGGATCATTGTTTCCCATCAGATTC